TTCCTCCTTGCAGCGCGCCCAGACACTCCCTTAATTAACAAAAAAAAATTAAATCTTTATTAATAACAAATTAATTATTAAACAAAAATATTAAATATAAACTAAGCAAACGTGCATTGCACGTTACTTGCACCTAGTATATTGATTAATGACTAATTGATCTTATCTAGAAGTCTTTAAGATTTTTCTCGTGTATTCCACTAAGATTGTAATCTTATTGCACATGTTAAAATTATTCATAAGAGTTTTGGGTCTATTAATTATTTTCCTCTTAGTCTTGTAACATAATTCTAATTTTGAATTTTAAATTCTCATCAAAATTGCAAAGAGAGAAAAATATGTATTTTTTATTACGTAGTGGGTCATTTGGAATATATGGGTAATAAAGGGTGCGAGACTTGGAGATTTTATTAAATATATAGATAAAAAAAATTATTTTATTAGTTTAAATTATAATCCAATTATGTCCAGTAAAATGAATAATAATATTAAATGCTCTAAAAGCATAAAACATGGTTAAGCGTGAAGGTCAAGTTTCAAATTTTACGAGATTAGACGTAAAAAAACTTTTTCTTATTTTTAATGTTATTTTAAATTTTGAATTATTCTAAATATTATTTTATAATAAAAATAACACATACCAAATATCTAAAATTATAAAAATATTATATTTACTTGATAATTCATACAATTAGTCAACTATATAATTTCCAAAGGAAAAATTTAAAATTAAATCAAATAAAAGACTTTTAAATATTTTAAAAATAATAAAGTGTGCCTATTTGCACTTAGGAGCGCATTAAATGCTTAACTTGGCAGTTGATCGCTTAATTTTTATGCTTACTATCAAGGTGAAACATTTCATCGGATCTTTGCATCTAACTACGTTATTAGAACACTGATAATATATAGACCCTGTTTGATGCACATTATTGGGGAGAAAATGCATTTTAAATAGTGAATTGATGAAAAATATGTGGTTAAAAAATAAAGAAAAGTTTTGAATTTGCGTGTAATATTATTTTATTGAAAAATGTGTGGTTGAAAATGAGTTTTGAAAAAATGAATTTTTGTAAGAATGTAGATCAACCATGGTGATAACTTGCTTAGCTCTCCTTAAATACTAATTCAAGTGGTGAGAGTTTTATTAAGGACGTGTTCGGTAGATATTAAAATCGAATTAAAATTGAAAAATTAGCTATTATTATTGATTTTTATTAGACGAGTGAGATCCAAAACAGTTATATTTTCAATTTTAATTGGATTTTAATTTTTACCAAACGGGCTCTAACTCAAATAGTCAATACATAAATATGGCGAAGTTGACATTAATTAAGCTATTGATGATATTAAAATTAGATTTTTAACAGATTTTAATAAAAGTTGATGAAATGTATAACTGAAATTGTAGGTTCTAAAAATATGTGGTTAAAATCAATTGTTAACTTTGATTTAAATTAAAATCTGAATTTTAATTTCTAGGGGCTAAATTTTTGAGCTCCATTTTAAAGTGATTTTGAGATAAAATGTATTTTGAATAGTTTTTTTTTTTTTGAGAATGTATGATTAAAATATAAGAATTTTTTTTATTTACTGTAATATAATAATATTATAGAAAAATATGATTGAAAATAAGTTTTGAAAAATCTATATTTCGGAAATAATGGGACTCAAGGCGTAATGATGTTTGAAATGCTAAAACCGTAGTTTAAGATCAAGGTATGAACATTTCATTTACATTGGGTATATCTTCTTCTAAAAACTCATTTTTAATAAAATATATTTTTGTAAAAATAATTTTGACTAATAGTATTTCCCTACATTTTAACCTAGTATTGTGAAAAAATCACATCTATCTAAAAAGTCTATGCCCCTGTTTGGTTTTACTAAAAATAATTTTTTATTTTTTAGTAAATTTTGATAAGTAACGGCGATACACGTGATTGAAAAATTATAAGAGCTTGTTTGGGAGAGATTTTTGGGGAAATAATTGATTTTAAATAGTGATATGATGAGAAATGTGTGGTAGAAAAAGAAGAAAAAATTATTGATGTGATATAAAATATTATTTTATTGAAAAATGTGTAGTTGAAAATGAGAATTGATTTACTGTAGAAAAATCTAATCCCTCCCAAACAGGCCTAAATATCATGGAATACTTGTTTTTAATAATAATAAGTTTGAACAAAAATAAATTTAAAAATATGGGAGTATCATGTTTCTTATGAAACTGTTTCCCATTTCCCATCTATGCATATGTTTCACGACACTCTGGATCATCCTTTAAACCCTAATTCGATGTCTCCCCAAATGTCTCCGATTATCCCAAATTCCTAAGTCCTAGCCCGAGAAAATTACATACGATATAGTTTTGGAAGACATGGATTCACAGGCGAACAATCTATACGAAACGGCGTCGCAGCCGGACACAGGCAACGACGCCTACACGTTCCTTGAATTCAAGGAAGACTTCGATTACCCAGAATTCCAAGAGCTCTCGCAGCCCATTCGATCCCCCTCTGTGTGGCCGACCCCGTCCGATTCGGTTGCTGTTTCTGAGACCAACGATTGCCTGTCATCATCTGATGCATCGCCCTCGACTAAAGCCCGCAGCGGTGGAGTTGGTACTAGTAGTAATAATAATAACAGTGGCAATAATAATGCCAGTGGCAGTGGTGGTAACAATAAGGAGGGTGTGGTTGATGCCTTGGCTGCAGGGATGAGTGGGCTGAATTTCGAAGAGACTGGTGATGATGAGGGGTTTGAGTATGGAAAAGGTGATTTTACTGAGCATGCTTGTAGGTACTGTGGGGTCACGAACCCTGCCTGTGTGGTGCGGTGCAATGTCTCGTCCTGCCGGAAATGGTTCTGTAATTCGCGTGGGAATACTTCGGGTTCACACATAGTCAATCATCTGGTTAGTAAAATGGAAATAAATGTGCAGTTTTTTTTAAAATTTTTTTTTTAAATGGTGATGAAATAGGTTTAAAAATGCATTTCTGTGTGTTGATTTTGTGGATTAGGTTAATGTGTATGCCACACAAAAACTGAGTGGATAAGTGAACCATATATTTTGGAAGGTTTTGTCGGGACTGATCATTTTACTTTTCTTTCCTGCATATTTATGATTGATTTCTTTGTCTGGACGTTTGTTTTTGGATTTTTTTAATATATATTACCTTTAAATGGACTGAGTAGTTGGGAATGTTATCTGGTTAAAGCGGTGAGGAAAGGTAATACTTAATCGTGGAATTTTGTTGCAAATTGTAGTTTTCCAGTTTTACTAAATGATGGGATTATGAAATTTTAAGTAGTATGGAGCACGACATGTTGAGGGAGAATTCTCTTACTAGAAGAGAAATCACTGGTCTATTTTTTCATGTTGCTATGAAACTGAACCAATTGGAATTTGGGGCAACAGATTGCTTTGTTTACAATTGAAATAAATGTTGTCGGTATGATGTCATTATTGGCTTAAATATATTTCTAAGTAGAAACTGACCGATAGTTTGATCAAGAGTTATGACATGATAGAAGCACGAAGTGATGGAACTGTATTGGTTTGAGGAGCTGCTGTTGGATTGTTCTCAATTTTCCGATTGGTACTCTATTGATCACGTATGACCAGTGTGGAAAGTGGAGTAACCTTGTCTCAAGTTTCTTTTGATTTACTTCGTAGGGTTGTTTAGGAGAGAATGTAGCCATGTAGGTATGAATTCAATGGGAATGATGCTCTTGTTCTTTCAAATACATATTCTTCTTCTCTAAAGCAAACTGTTGAAACAAGACATGACATATAAACATATGCAGTTGTAAACGGAAATTAAAGGTTGTTCTTAGGGTAATTAGCAAATAATGCCCCTAACTTTCACTATTATTGTGAAAAACATCCTTACTTTTCATGTTTTGGCATTTTCACCCTTAATTACATCTTTAAATGCGCAAACCATCATTTTCATTCAATTTCTCAATAAAAGCTGTGAAATGACGAATATACTCTCTTATTTAAATAAAAAAATAAAGAAAATTATTTTTTTAATTTTTAATTTTTTAATAATTTATTTGGGGCTTGTTTGCACTTTTTTTTTAAAAAAAAATTAATATCTAATTTTTTAAATAATTTATTTGGGATTTGTTTGCACATTTTTAAAAAAATTGGGACCATGGTTGCAATTAGTTCTTTTTTTTATTTAAATAGGATGGTATATTCGTCATTTCATAGTTTTTTATTGAGAAATTGGATGAAAATGAATAGAAATGATGATTTGCACAATCAGAATTGTAATTAAGGGTGAAAATATCAAGAAATGAAAGGTAGTGACGCTTTTCACAATAATAGTGAAATGTAAGGACATTATGTGCTAATTACCCGTTGTTCTTATATAAATTATGCTGCATTTATTATTACATATCAAGATCATTTTTTCACTTGGATGCACTTGGCATGTGAAAGGTAGAGCATTTCTGCAAGTATAGTAATAATTCTGTACTTGAATTTCCAATTTTCAAGAGATTAATGGTTTGTCAATTAATGGTGGAAAATATTGGATTGGTTGAGGGTATGATACATTTTGCAAACATCTGGTTTAAAATTGCAAATACATGGATAAGATATTCTGTGGAATAAAAATTTGAGGGATTGAATATTATGGTTTTATCAACTTTTTCTTGCTGTTTTCCTTTGAAAAGAAAATCGACATAGCCATACTGGTTTGAGTATAATACATATCTGAATGGTCACCGTGGATATGTTCCTTGAGAATTTGTAGATCTTGATAGATGATTGAGACGTGTCAAGGAAAATGTTTTCTGATATCACACATGCAAGATTATGACCATAAGTTTGTAGTTTCTCAGATTTAGGCTCACAAATGGGAAGTTATTTGATGATGCATGAAAATCAGAAGGGCGGACTCATTTTGTTTTTTTGCTCATGAATAATCTTAGTGCATGTTAGGTTGGTGATTATTCTATAATCTCTTCCGCTCAAACATGCTTTAATTTGTAGGACTCACAACAATTACCATTATTATCCACACATTTAATAGGACTTGCCACTTATACTCACTTAAATTATAATTTATCACCAACCAAGCATGACTAATTTATTATCCATCTGGAACTGATATACCCAATTTGATGGGAAAATATCTCTCTGTGATTATTGTTGTCATTACTTCTTTTGCACGGCATATTTAGTGCTTCCATTGTTTTAACTCTTTTGACTTGAGTTTTCTGTGCTATACGTAATCTAGGTGAGAGCAAAGCATAAGGAAGTATGTCTTCATGAAGATAGTCCCCTGGGAGAAACAATTCTCGAGTGCTACAACTGTGGATGTCGAAATGTTTTCCTTCTTGGTTTCATATCTGCAAAGACAGAGAATGTGGTTGTCCTACTTTGTAGGGAACCCTGCCTTAGCAATAATGCATTAAAGGACATGAATTGGGACCTTAGTCAGTGGTGCCCACTTATTGATGATAGGTGCTTCTTGCAGTGGCTAGTAAAGGTTAGATATTCGTAGGTTTATTTCTTGTTTCCAGATAGCCTGTGGTCTCGTATTGAACCTCTTAATTTATTTCAAAATGAAGGTCCCATCTGAACAAGAGCAGTTGAGAGCTCGCCAAATTAGTGCACAACAGATAAATAAAATAGAAGAGCTTTGGAAGACAAATCCTGATGCAACCTTGGAAGATCTTGAGAAACCAGGTGTGGATGATGAACCTCAGCCTGTAGCCTTGAAGTATGAAGATGCTTATCAGGTGCCATTAATGAGCTTTTAGTTGATCAGCTGATGTGCACGTTAATACTGCGTTCAATATTGTTGACGCTGCATTTCTGTTTCTGGCTGTTGCTTTACATTGATGAATGTACCATATTTCTTTTGCAGTATCAAAATGTTTTTGCACCCCTTATCAAGCTTGAAGCAGACTATGATAAGGTTTGCTTACATCTAATTCTGTGGTTATGTACCCCCCACCCTCACCCCCACCCCCACCCCCACCCCCACCCTCACCCTAAGAAACCCAAACAAATGGATAATAGAAGATGGCGAGTCCCCCACACATTGATCAAACTTTTTTCCCACTTTATGTCTGTAATTTATATCTTGAGATTTTGTTCAGTAATAATTACCTTTTCTAATGTATGCTTTCTGGAAGTTTCAATTTTCATTTCTGTTTCACAGATGATGAAAGAGTCTCAGAGCAAAGATAATATCACACTTCGATGGGACATTGGTCTTAATAAAAAGCGTGTTGCATATTTTGTTTTTCCTAAGGTACTTCATGCTGTTGTTTATACATACATTTTCTTTTAAGCTATCTTAATTTTTTAACAGAAAAATACATGTGCTTGTAGGAAGACAATGAGTTGCGCCTTGTACCTGGTGATGAATTGCGACTGCGTTATTCAGGGGATGCAGCTCATTCTGCATGGCAGTCTGTGGGTCATGTGGTATGACACCCTTTTTTTTTAAACTATTCTATTTTACAACTCTTTCCAAGACTTTTCTTGTTACACCTGGATTATTTCTTGAGCGGCTAACTTGACATTCTCTATAGCACGGACACTTCAATTAGGGTAGCGTGTCCGTATCCAACACGTGTCGGACACGAGTCGATACCGACACTTTTCGGACACTCTACCGTAATCATTTTTCTTTTTATATTAGAAATATTATATATTGTTAATTCAAAGTTATTAGCAAGTAACAAATATGTACTCACGTTTAAAAGATTTCAACAAGAAAAATTAATAACAAGTATAAAATTAAATTTATACTACATAAATGAAGAATTTTTAAGAATTTAATCAACGTGTTGATGACGTGTCGTGTCTGTACTTTTTTTAAAAATCGCATGTTGGCGTATTCGACACGTATCGTGTCGGACACATGTGTCCGTGTCGATGCATCATAATTGACATCCTTACGGGAGGTATAAGGTTCCCCATCTTGATCAGAAAATATGTGGGGGCTGAATCACTTGCAAATATTTATCTTGAGTACTATCAGAAAAATGGTTTAACAATTTTTTTTTTTTTTTTTAGATAAAATTGACTGCACAAGAGGAAGTTGCTCTTGAGCTTCGTGCCAGTCAGGTATCTCTTATCACATTTATATATTTTCATTTTTCATGCACTGGTTGGAAACTATCTTGATTTGCACGATTCTATCTGCAGGGTGTTCCTGTTGATGTGAACCATGGTTTTAGTGTTGACTTTGTTTGGAAGAGCACAAGTTTTGATCGGATGCAAGGGGCAATGAAGACTTTTGCTGTGGATGAAACAAGTGTCAGTGGGTCAGTTGACACAATTTAATATTTCTGTTAGTTGATTACAGTGTGCATTTTCTTTTTCTTATAACTGTATTTGCATATTCTAAATATTAAAATATAGAATCTTTTTGGAACATTGTTTATGCATGTCCTATTACACACAGAGCTATTTATATATTATTATGTTAAATCTTTAGCATAAGCGGTAGATGAAAGATGATCTTCTGTAGTTGGTGCGCAATGGCCAATAGGATAGTTGTGAACTTGGAGATCCTGACATTAAATGCGCCCTTGCAGGAAATATTTTTAATGTTCTTCAAGATCTGTGCTTTATGAAGTCCAGGACTGAACTTGAATTGACAGTGCATAACGTGTTTAGGATGCATTCTACTTCTCCAAGTACATTTGTAGCATATATGCTTGTTTGCTTTTGCCATTCTGGAATTTTTGTTTTGTTTTTACCTTGTAGTTTAGATTGAAGTCTTTTTGTTAACCCACCTTTTCATGAGTTAATTTCTACTGATGAACTGTTTAATACCCTCTCCTTTGCATATGGATCATCTTTGGTGGGTTTTCAGTACAATGCTGCATATTATGCAGGTACATTTACCATCATTTGCTAGGCCATGAAGTTGAGATGCAGATGGTCCGCAATGCATTACCTCGCCGTTTTGGAGCTCCGGGTCTTCCAGAACTCAATGCATCTCAAGTATGGTTCCAGAATTGCTTGTTTCATCTTTATATGTGATGCTTTGGATATCTTGGATTGTTCACGTGACTTGTGGGGTTTTAGGTTATCTAAACCCTCTGTTCACGTTTAGTTCCTGACAAGAATCAAGGAAGGGAGAGTACTGTGAGGTTGTTAGGCAAGGGATAATTTTTTAGGACTGGTGAGTTCTGAGAGAAATTAATGTTTATCCTTTGGATGAATAGAATTTAGCAAGTAAATAGAACATTTTGAGACTGAATCAAATATAAAGAGTGCACATATCCCTTTTGTAACAAGTACAAAATTTATTTCATTTTTCTGATCCTGGAGAAGACTTATTTGTCAATTACATAGCTAGTTGTTATCTTGAGATAGATCCATATAGAAATTGTCATCATGCTGATTAATATGAGTGGTTCTTATCCAGTTTTACTTCATTTTTTACTCATGCCTTGACCCATCTAATTTGCTTAGGTTTTCGCGGTGAAAAATGTCCTACAAAAGCCTATAAGTCTTATCCAAGGCCCTCCTGGAACTGGGAAAACTGTCACTTCTGCTGCAATTGTGTATCATATGGCGAAACAAGGCCAGGGACAGGTAAAATTGTTTACAGGTTTGCGTTACTGTGTATTTTTTTGGGTTTGCTGATAATTGGTTTCCCATTCAGGTTTTGGTCTGTGCTCCTAGTAACGTGGCTGTTGATCAGCTAGCTGAAAAGATAAGTGCAACTGGTTTGAAGGTAAGAAAATTCTCCTTTTAAACTAGAGTCTTCCCCATAATTCTTCGCAGCTTCAGTTTCCCTATAATGATTTTTTTCTTTTCATCTGTCGTAGTTGTAGTTACATTTGATTTTATAGCTTCAGAGTCTACATGGAAGAACGATAGACTTTCATGAGACTTAACACGATGGTAAATGAAGTGAAATGGTGTGTAGTGGGGAATTCACTCTGTTTTCACGTCACATGAGTGTTTACCACTGTCATCTACTTTTTCTCATGATGCATGTAGCAATTTGTTTAACTGAGCTGGTATCACTTTTAAACCTATTCCCCTGTTCCCTAACTCTACCAGCATGAAAGAAAATTAAAGATAAAAATATCGAAGTAGTCCTGTTGTTTGATACATGAGATTTACATCCTTCGACGTTTAAATATTTTGTATTTCTAATTAGGTTGTCAGACTCTGTGCAAAGTCGAGGGAAGCTGTTAGTTCTCCTGTTGAGCATTTAACCCTCCACTATCAGGTTTTTTACTCCCTTAGATTTTGTATTCTAACCTAAAATTGCTTGTGCAAATTGTTCTCATTTTAAAACTGTATTTTCATCTTAGGTACATTTGAGTTTTGTATTTTATCACTTCATTATCTTATTATTGTTTATAGGTTCGACATCTTGACACGTCCGAAAAAAGTGAACTTCATAAGTTACAACAATTGAAAGATGAACAAGGTTTAACGTTTTCACCTTTTCTTGATTTCTTCTTTTCCGTATGGTTTTGCTTTATTACGTATCCCCATTTTATCAGTCCTGCACTGTGCTTTTAGGTACTTTCCTGATTACATGTCTGCTTATGAAGTTGAAAACAGTCCTGGCTGCTTAATTCGCTGCTCCTGTAACCCTTTCATGTAGTTATTTTATATTCAAGGCGTATGATGACTACCATTATGAGTGATTTTGGTTTCAATGTGAACACTTACTTTTGTAGATCAACATTGTGAGAGGAAGGAATAACATGTTAGTTGAGGGGGGAAAGTGTGAAGGTGTTTTTTTTTGATAAGTAAAGAAACTTATATATTAATAAAGGTCCTAGTATACTAGAAGTATACAAAATGACAAAGTAGTCAAAGAATACAATGGTCCAACAACTCTATGGGAGAGCTGATGGAAAGAATACCCAAGGCCTTAACCCACAAACAATAATTGAAAGAAACTGCTCTTCAACTCCGAAGTGGAGGTCTCAGTATCCTCGAAATGTCTAGCATTTCTTTCCCTCCAAACACACCAAAAACGCAGTGGAGAACAACCCTCCACACCATGGAAGTCCTGCTACTAACACTAGACCCCTTCCAACATGAGAGAAGATTAAAAACTGTTTTCGGTATGACCCACTGGACCCCAAACAACCCAAACACCAAATCCCACAACTCCCGAACTAGCTTAGCTTACAGTGCAGAAGAATATGGTGAGGACTCTCCCCGCTCTCCCTACATAAACAACACCAATCAATCAAAATAAGGCCACGTTTGCGAAGGTTATCAATAGTCAAGATCTTCTCCAGTGCAGCAGTCCACGAAACGAAAGCCACTCGAGGAGGCACCTTGGATCTCCACACACATCTCCAAGGGAAAGATGTAGGATATGGGGAACTCAAGGAGCGGTAGCACCTCTTAACTGTAAAAGCAGTAGAAGTTAAAGAACCCCAACTAATTAGATCATCCCCTCTACCTTGCACCTTAATTGAGTAGAGGAGCTCCATAAAAGAAGAGATGGATTCCAACTCCCAATCCTGCACGCTCCGAGTGAAGAGCACATTCCAGTGAAGCATACCATTAGTGTGAGACATGAGGGCGGCCACTGATACATTTCTATCTAGAGCGATAGAGAAAAACTCCGGATAAGCCTCCTTCAATGGCACATCACCACACCATCTATCATGCCAGAATTTCACCCCAGATCCATCCCCTACCAAATAATACAAGTTTTTTGAGAACGAAGACCAGCCTTGGTGAATAATTTTCCATAGACTCACCCCATGAGAGTCCCTCGCTTCCTTGGTACACCAACCCCCCCAGTTGGTGTCATATTTGGCAGCCACCACTTGCCGCCAAAGAGCATCCCTCTCCATACCAAAACGCCACAGCCACTTGCATAAAAGAGCTTTATTGAAATGTTGAAGGTCCTTTACCCCCAACCCTCCATACTGAACAGGCTTGCAAACCTGAGACCACGAGACTAAGTGAAACTTTGTCTCCTCCCCCATGCCAGACCAAAGAAAGTGCCTCTGTACCCTCTCTAAGCAATGTGCCACCCCAGTCGGAATAGGGAAGAGCCATAAGAAGTAGGTGGGTAAACTAGAGAGAGTGCTCTTAATTAAAGTTACCTTCCCCCCTTTTGATAAATAAAGGCGTTTCCAACCTGCTAAGCGCTTCTCCATACGCTCAATAATCGGATTCCAAATCGATTTGGCCTTAAAGGAAGAACCCAAAGGCATCCCCAGATATTTCATAGGGAGACTCTTTTTTGCCTCCCACCACCTTCACATTTTACCTGAGGCATAGCATGCTTGTTATGAAATCAAATTTTCCTTGGCTGATTCCTTTCATTGATGACCATTTATATTTCTTGGTAAAGTGAGTGGCAGTTGGAATCATATTTCTTGTAGGTTGTTCATTTTATGAAATGTTGGTAACATCATTTTCAATATTTACCTTTTTAAGAGAACGAAACATTAGGCGATAGATTGATGGAGTACACTTTGCCAATGTGAATAATCACAGTTAAATGCTCAAAAATCACCGAGGCACTAAGGCCTCACGAGACATAAACGCAAACCAGGTTGCGCGCTTTTTGTCAAAGGCGAACACATTAATTTGAAATAAAAAATTTCGGATATAGAAATTTTCAATCCTATATTCAACAGACTTCCTAAAGTGCAGCAATTGTTAGTGAAGTTCAATAAACATCAATTAATGCTGAGATAATGTTTGATTAAAATTTTAAAAATATTTTTGCAATGATTCCAATTTCAGCACCCAAACAACGCCACCATTTGGCAAACGAAAATGGTATCAGTGGTTTAGATGAAAAAAGACAGTCTGAATAGATCTCGTGCCTTGCAATTTTGTGGCTCCTGCACTTCAATGTTATCTGCTGTTAGGCACGTGTTTAGACACACTTCTAGCAAGCATACATGAAACATTAGAAATAGATCAAGTTGCATTGTGAAATAGTATAAATTTTTTTTCCCACAAACACACTAGTATTGGAGCTTGTTCATTTCTTTTACTTAATTAACTAAAATCACGGTCTTCTGGTATGATTTTGAGTGCATTCATTTTACGCCTGTTGAACATGTAACAAATCATAAATACACTGGTATACTAGTGATGTATATTGAATCTTTATGCACGAAGCATTTTTATTGACCCCGTAATCTCTACAGGAGAGCTATCCAGCAGTGATGAGAAAAAGTACAAAGCTCTTAAGCGAGCAACAGAGAGGGAGATATCTCAGAGTGCGGATGTCATTTGTTGCACGTGTGTTGGTGCTGGAGATCCTCGTTTGGCAAATTTTAGATTCCGTCAGGTGAATGCGCAAAAATAAACTGGGGGATGATGGTTATTCCAGTGATTATTATATACATTATTGATCCTTATTTTGTGCTTTTAAATGTGTTTATAGGTGCTTATTGACGAGTCTACTCAGGCAACAGAGCCTGAGTGTCTTATTCCTTTGGTTCTTGGGGCAAAACAGGTAATTGGTGAAGTTGATTCTTAATTGCATATTTTCGATTCTAACTTCTTGCTCTTTGTTAGGCTGTTCTTGTTGGTGATCACTGCCAGCTTGGTCCTGTTATCATGTGCAAGAAAGCAGCAAGGGCTGGTCTAGCTCAGTCGCTGTTTGAACGGCTTGTGTTACTTGGTGTGAAACCAATTAGATTACAGGTATTTGTAATCTTGATATTTGCTTTAGTGTGCTTTTGAGGGAAGCATATTTCTAACTCTGCGCTATATTAAATATTGAATATCTAGAGTCAATTTGGCTAAAAGGAATATCGACCATATATATCCTGATATTTGATGCTCAGATTCTTCGAAATAGTTGGAGTACCAGTGTCGGATACGACACGACATGTGTATGGGATATGTGTCGGATAGTAAAGAATCGAATTTCAAAAAGGGTGCTGCTATCCTCCAAATTTCAACTGGACACTTCGCCGTTTTTACTTTTTTTTTTTCTTTTTCCTTTTCTTTCCCTTTTCTTCTTTCCTACTTTTGCTCTCTATAAACCTAGCGTCGTCGTCGAGAGGGTGGAGAAAGACGGCGACGCTAGGTTTTTCCTTCTTTTTCTTTCTTTATTATTTCCATTTTCTTCTTTTTTATCTCTCTATATCAGTGGTTTACGGTTTTGTTTGTATAAAATGAAAATGGGTTCCATATAGTGCTACTTAGTGTTCCCAAATTACAATCAAGTTCCTCATTTTCTATTTTATATAACATTTAGTAATTCTCATTATGAAAACTAAACCCAAAATTCTATTTTATTCATCTTAATCCCTTATTAAATACCAATTTCCTTCATTGTGAATAATTAATTTTGGTCTATTCAAAATGACATTCTAGATTAGTTAAAAAAGATTGAAGTTTGAAAGACGTACCCAAGTACCTGTGTTCGAAATTTGAACTCTTTTAGCCATGTCCCCGTAACCTACATTTTTAAAAAATAAAAGATCCTTAGATACGTACTCGTACCAGATACCCGTACCCGAGTTCGAGCATCATAGATCCTCATCCTTGTGTTTGCCTATATAGTATTTATGGTGGTTTGCCTATTCCTTTTGTTATGTCAACATGTTACCTCATGTGATAGAGAGTTGGACCTTTATCCATTTTGTTTTAATTTTTCATGTTAGGTTCAATATCGGATGCATCCAGCTCTTTCAGAGTTTCCATCTAACAGCTTTTATGAAGGCACTCTTCAAAATGGAGTGACCATTAATGAAAGACAATCACCTGGCATCGACTTTCCTTGGCCAGTGCCAAACCGTCCAATGTTCTTCTATGTCCAGGTATATTCATGCTATTTGTATTTGTATTGGGGCTATTTCTAGTGTAAATACTTTTGCCCTAAGGATGCATAGGTGAGATTGGAAAGGTTGGGCTCTGATATTGCATGTAGTTTTTCTTGGTGGAATAATTTCTTTCATGTTGTAGTTAACGCAAAGATGAGAGATTATGTCTTTATGTAAAAAAATTTTTACTCCCTTCACCTTGCAAAGAGCCCTTTTTTCTATCTGAAACCTTGGCACAGATTTTGTCCTTTCATGTTTTACTTCCTCAGAGGGATGTTAAACTTGCTTAGTTAACTTTGATAGATGGGACAAGAGGAGATAAGTGCAAGTGGAACATCCTATTTAAATAGGACTGAGGCTGCAAATGTTGAGAAAATTGTGACTACCTTTTTGAAGAGTGGTGTAGTTCCTAGTCAGGTATCTGTGGAGCTTTTCCGTTTTTCATTTTCTGCTACTTGGTTCTATTTTTATGTTGAAAGGGTGATGACTATGCATGACATTCCATAGATTGGGGTTATAACACCATATGAAGGTCAGCGAGCATATATTGTGAACTATATGTCAAGAAATGGTGCTCTAAGGCAGCAGCTATACAAAGAAATTGAGGTAAGATGTGCAAAACGTGTAGAAGTTACACGTGCAAATCAATTCTTTATAAAAACTTCGCCAAGGTAGAAGGAAAACTGGTAATTCATTTCAGGTAGCAAGTGTAGACTCGTTCCAAGGAAGGGAGAAGGACTACATAATTTTGTCTTGCGTGAGGAGCAATGAACATCAGGTAGGTCTTGTTTATAATCTTCTTTTCCTGGAATCAGCTGTCTAGAATTCTTGGTGTGTATAACTTCAATGTGATATATTGCACGCAAATTTTTCTGTTTCATCTTACTCCAAGGATGTTTGGTAGTGCATTTGAGTGCTTATGAGTTGTGGGACTTACGGAATGTGTGGATAATAAATAAGTAGTAAGTTGCGGGTCCTACAAAATGTGTAGACCAGCTTAAACATAATTTAAGCTTTGTCAGACATGCACTCCATATGGTACTCTCTTCCATATCATCAATATACCTACCTGCTGGAGCAGGGTGCATATTGATGGCCCTATTGAATGTATTGAAACTCACTTTTTTTACCCTGATTGACATTAATTGTTACAAGTTGTGAGATTTGTGGGGTTGACGGAGCATAGAGGAAAATTGTAATTGTGTATTCAAATATGCTTATTTCATGGCTTTCTTCTTTTTTGAAATTCTGATAGTTACCGTCTTTATCTGTTGTTCTTCTGGAAATGTTCATTTTATGGTTGTATTAATTGTTGAAATTTGGAAGCAGTATTATGATAGCTTAATCTCGTGTTTATATCTTCAGGGCATTGGATTTCTCAATGATCCACGACGGCTGAATGTTGCGCTCACCCGTGCTCGTTATGGTATTGTTATCTTGGGAAATCCTAAAGTTTTGAGTAAGCAGCCTCTATGGAATGGCTTATTGACGCACTACAAGGTATTTGCATTTCTTTCTATTGTGTTTTTTTCTGTACTATCACGATTGGGCATGACTAGAATATGATTCCTCGAAGGTGATGTGATTTTATGCTTTTGACGAATTTCACGCATGTTTCATGTTTGGAAGTGAGTAAACTGTTTGTGGGAGTCATTTTATTTATGCTCATGCTGCTGTATCGTGTGTTGTACTATATTTCTGAAACTTTGCTGTCAGGAACACGAGTGCTTGGTCGAAGGTCCTCTGAATAATTTAAAGCAGAGTATGGTTCAATTCCAAAAACCCAAAAAGGTGAGGCATTTTTATTGACATAGTTGTTAGAGAAGATGTTTTCGAATTATTTGAAGCTTTAAACTGTACAAGACTGATTATTTTGTGGACAAGCATGACTGGTTAAATTAACTGTGAGCATTTTTAACATGGCTTATGTGGTTAATGTGTGGCACAGATCTACAACGATCGCAGACTTTTCTTTGGCGGTGGACCAGGAATTGTTCCAAATGATAATTGTGGATCTGCTGCATCGTACCCAAATGCTGATAGGAGAAGCACGCACTCTAGGGGTACGTTAGATCTCTGTAAATGTATTAAGTTTTGCACATGAATTGAGGTTATGGTTATCCTGAATTGACTAAGAGAAATTGTGTGTGAGGGAAAGCATGTTTAAAATTATTGCTTTTTATGATAAAAGATAAAGCAGAATGTATAGTTCTTCCTATATTGGAATAGATAAAAGCGTTATTCTTCAAGCAGGTTCTTACATGCCACCTGGCCCACCGAATGGAGCTCGTAAACCCAATGTTCACCCGTCTGGTTATCCAGTGCCGAGGGTACCGGTTCCTCAGTACCATGGAGGTCCTCCAGCTCAGCCATATGCCATACCCACTCGTGGTGCTGTACATGGACCTGTTGGAGCAATTCCTCAGATTCCACAACCAGGAAGCCGGGGTTTTAGTGCAGGCCGTGGAAATGCTAGTGCTCCTATCGGTAGTCATCTTCCGCACCAACAGGGTGCACAACAACCCATTGGGAGTCATGGGTCTAATTTTAACTTCCCGTCCTTGGAAAATTCAAATAGCCAGCCATCTGTGGGTGGACCATTGTCTCAGCCAAGATATGTTTCTAATGTTAGTTTAATTTCAAGATTATGCATTTATCTTTTCTAATCAGTTTTCTTCCATTATAACTTTGATCAAAATCTGGAGAGCTCACTTTTTGCAATCAATAGGTGACAGGTCAAGGACCCACCCAAGCATTTAGGGATGGATTCTCTATTGGGGGCATGTCTCAGGTAGTTGATTTAGTCCAAGTCTACACTCTGTCTATATGTTTCCTTTTTCTTCCTCTTGGATGGTTTTCTTCAATTATTATTTTTTTTTTTAATGTTCACGCAGGATTTCTTGGGTGATGATTTTAAAAGCCAGGGATCATATGTTCCATATAATGTTACTGAGTTCTCCACTCAGGTACAAGACTTAAACGTGGATCCTATGTTTTTGTCTCATTATCTGCATGTTATGTTAATTGCAAGAGTCTGCACGATGAAACTCGTGCTCGTCATTAATCAAATCATCACATGAGGTTCTTTTTTTGTCAGCTGGCATTCATTTTCATATTGACACTTGCTGTTGTGCAGGCTTCTCAGAGTGGATATGGTGTTGATTATGTCACACAGGGGCCTCAAGGTGGGTTCTCTGGGAGCTTCTTAAACCAGAATTCTCAAGCTGGATACTCTCGTTTTGCTACGGGAAATGACTTCATGTCACAGGTTTTTTTTAAAATATTTTATATGTTCTTCTGTTGGCATATAAGGTCAAGTTACAAAGAGAGGAAATAAATTCTTGATAATATTATTCATAAGAAAAGATACGTATATATACTGATTGAGAAGATTTAATTAGGAAACCCTATAATCAAGCCTACCAATCCCTATAATTAAGCCTATATACAGGCTGTAGGATTTATTTACACTTTGTAACACTCTCCATCAAGTTGGAGCATATATATTAATCATGCCCAACTTGTTACAAATATAATCAACCCGGGTCCCATTTAGAGCCTTTGTAAAAATATCTCCTAATTGTTTTCCAATTTTCACATATCCTGTAGAGATTAAATTCTGCTGAATCTTCTCACAAATGAAATGACAATCAATCTCAATATGCTTAGTTCGTTCATTAAACACAGGATTAGAAGCAATATTTTTTGTTTTTGAAAGGTAATCAAATATTATATTAATCAAAATTTAATACACAGGAAGTGTATCATCAATACAAATCAGAAAGGAATATCATGAAATTAGGCAGCCCATCTATATGCCTAGTAGTCGCAGCATTAAACCAAATATACAATGTCAAATAAAACAACTCTCTAAACTGCTCTGTTGTCCGTGTTTGGTCTTCAAAACATCGTCCATTTCTCTCTCCACATAGACCACACGATACATTCCGGAATAAGATCTCAGACAAGTTTGCTTTCCTTATCTCGAAACTTTCTCCTCCATGTCTTTAACATGTCCTCCATACGCTTCTGCATCACCCAATTCATATGTTGCGACACCAAAATATCGTTCCACAATAAAGGAGCAGCATCACAATGAAGAAATAAGTAATCAATCGTCTCCTCATCCCTCTTACACATATAGCACTACTTTGTGACATAAAAACCCCTTATACGAAGATTATCCACCTAACACATGTTCTCTGACAACCGTCCATAATATGAAGGGCAACTTAATTGTCACACCACAACTTTGCCAATATTGAAGCTTTAAGACCAGCTTCAGTTAAGAGCTGATATATCCATATTATCTCACACACAGATTGTGCTATAGCTCTATATTCTGATTCTGCACTGGATCGGGACACAACATTTTGCTTCTTACATTTCCATGAGATCAAATTTCCTCCAACAAAAACGCAGTTGCCACTAGTTGATCTTCAGTCAATCTTGGAACCTATCCAATCTGCATCTGNTGAAGACATATATTGAATCATAAAACTGACAGAATACGCAATATCAGGACTTGTTACTTTAAGATAGTTCAATTTCCCTACCAGTCTTCTATACTTCTCAGGATCTTCAAATAAGTCATCTTTGGTAAGTTGCAAATTATGAAGCATTGGAGCACTGCTTGGCTTAGTTCCCAACTTTCCGTTTTAGTTAATAAGTCAAGCACATATTTTCTCTGAGATAAGATGTCTTTTTTACTTCTTGTCACCTCAATTTCCAAGAAATACTTCAACACCCCTAAATCTTTCGTGTGAAATCGGGTGTGAAGAAAGGACTTCAGAGATGAAATTCCCATAGTATTACTGCCAGTTATAACAATATCATCAACATACACAAGGAGAATAATGTCGGATTCAGACTGTTTGTAGACGACTAAGTGGTCAGACTTGCTCTTTTGCATTCCAAACTTTTCCACTGCCTCACTAAATTTTCCAAACCAAGCACGTGGATTTTGTTTCAAAACATGTAAGGACTTTCGAAGACGACACACTTTCCCATGCTCCCCTTGAGCAACAAACTCATGCGGTTGCTCCATATAAACTTCCTTTGGAGGTCACCATGTAAGAAGGCATTTCTTATGTCTAATTAATGTAAAGGCCAATTATGAGTAACTACCATAGAAATGAATAAGCGAACAGACATTAATTTAGCTACAGGAGAGAGTATCGGAATAATCCACACCATAAGTCTGAGCATAGCCTTTAGCTACAAGACGAGCTTTAAGCCTAGCCACTGATTCGTCAGAATTGACTTTGACTACAAACACCCACTTACATCCAATAGCCTGTTTCCGTGCAGGCTAGTTCACTAAATCATAAGTACCATTAGCATCTAATGCATTCATTTCCTCTATCATAGCATTACGCCAACCAGGATGGGATAAGGCTTTATGAATAGTGTTCGGAAGAGTCACAGAGTCGAGGGAGGTAACAAAAGAACAAGAAGAAGACAGTTGATCATAAGAAACTAAAGATGAAATAGGGATAAGTGCAATGACGTTTACATTTGCGAAGAGCAATAGGTAGATTAAGATCACTGGACACTGGATCTGATACCGAAGAAGTCTGGTGCCGAACATGCATCATGAGGGTCACGTCGTCTGGAGTAGACCTGACGAATAGGTGGTGGTGGTGGTAGTGGTGTGGGATCAACAGGTGTAGAAGCAATATTAGGTGATCGGTAAGTGACATAATAAACCAACAAATTGTCATCCTCCCCCCTTATTGAAAGAAGTATAAGATGTGGGAAAAAAAGGAATATGTTCTAGAAAGGTAACATCAACTGATACAAGATACTTATTAAGACTTAGACAGTAGCATTGATACCTTTTTGTAGACGAGAGTAACCCAAAAAATCACATTTTAAGGATTTGGAATCTAATTTAGTTACCTGGGGACAAACGTCGCAAGCATAATAAGTACTACCAAATGTTCTAGGTTCAATAGAAAACGAGGGTTTAGTAGGGAAAATGACACTATAAGGAATCTCACTATGAAGAACAGATGAAGGCATACGATTAATCAAAAAATAGGTTGTGGAGACAGCATTAGCCCAAAATTGTTTAGGAACATGCATTTGGAATATGAGTGCCCTTGCTGTCTCAAGATGTCTATTTTTTCTTTCAACCAAACTATTCTGAGAGGGTGTGTCAACACACGAGAATTGATGAAGAATACCATTTTGAAGCATGTAAGTCTGAAAGAATCGGAAAAATATTCTTTGGCATTATCACTTCTCAATGTATGCAAAGAAATATTAAACCGTGTTTTAATTTCAGCACAAAAAACACTAAAATGAGAAAATAACTCGAAACGATTTCTCATTAAATAAAGCTAAGTCACACGAGAAAAATCATCAATAAAGCTAGTTTTGGACACAACAGGACAAAGACCCCAAACATTTGAATGAACTAACTCAAAAGGAAAACTAGCTTTTTTATTGACTCGAGGAACTGATGATAGACGATGATGTTTTGCAAATTGACACGACTCACAATCTAAAGACGACACTCTCTGAAACTGAGGACATAATTTCTTTAACAAAGATAAAGATGGATGTCCTAACCGACAATGTGCTTCAAAAGGAGTTAAGACACCTGAACACGCAATGAGTTTGGGCACCTAGGTATCCAGAATATAGAGACCGCCTAATTCATGTCCTTTACCAATAATTTTTTTCGTCATAAGATCCTGAAAAAAACAATGAGGAAAATATGAAATACAATAATTTAGGGTCCAATTAAGCTTGCTCACAGACATTAAATTGAAAGAAAATTATGGTAGAATTAAAAAAGAAGATAAAGAAATTAATGGAGTTGGATTGATAGTGCCAAAACTCTGAACAGAAGTAGAACCATTAGCTAAAGTAACATTGGAGGGAGATGTATAATATGATTGAAAAGTGGAAAAGAGACTAGGATTACCTGTCATATGATATGTGGCACAAAAATCAATGACCCATTTTGAGGAAGAGGAAAGAAGACACGTATTGGGTTTACCTGTCTTAGCAATGGCAGAGATAGGTTGAGAACAAGACATTCAGTTCTTCACAAGTCTTTTTGAAATTCATAAAATAAGCCTGAAGAGACCGATCTTGTTGTTCAGCACGGTAAAAACCTTTATAGACTTAATAAATACGTGACACATTCCCTTTCTCAGAGCACATAAATTCTAAATATTCCACCAGTTCTTTAACATACTCACAATGATTAATGAGACTGACTATCTCAGAGTCATTGGAATTCCGAATTTTTAAGAATAACGGGCATCATCCCTTAGCCATGTTTGGTGAGTATTATTTGTTGGCAGATCTTCGGTCAGATGATTGTCCATAGAGATACTCCGCAGATTAATCCGAATTGTCTTACACCAATCTAAATAATTTGGACTAATTAACTTATGCTCCGTGATTTTGGACATCACTGGAATGACATGAGTCACAACTAAATTCTTTTGCTCGGCCGCCATAGAAGTAAAACACAAGATCCAAATAACAAGTCACAACCCCCACAAGTATCCAATTAAACTAATGTCCTGCACAAAAGCCCAAAATAATTCACCAAAGCGCAGCAGCCGGGAAGACTACGAACGATTTTCTCCCACGAGCAGAGTTAGACTTCATAGAGGGACTACTTCGCAACTGCCGCAATGATGTAGTCAGCCAAGGTGAGTCCCTAACCAAAAATTCTTATCTTTACTGAGAGAGAAAAAAAAATCACGCAGAAAATCCTCTTTTGATTTGAGGGCTCTGATACCATGTTACAAAGAGAGGAAACAAATTGTTGATAATATTATTCATAAGAAAAGATATGTATATATACAGATTGAGAAGATTATATTAGAAAACTATACTAATTAGGAAACCCTATAATTAAGCCTACCAATCCCTATAATTAATCCTATATACAGGCTGTAGGATTTATTTACCGTAACAAGGTCAGTTGAAGCTTGAATTGCAATCAGGTCCGGGGTCATTATTTTCCCAGTTCCTCTTAACTAGAGTTCTAAAAGATGTGATCCTCATTCCCTTAGAAAGAACCACCGGGGTTGTGGCTGTTGTGCCCATTAAATGACAAAATACCCATAAAATAAAGGTAGCAGAGATGAACGTATTAAACTGGATGGCTAAGAAATTAGAATATAAACCAACAACTGGGACATGGCACCAATTGAAGACAAATTAAGGAAATACAACTTAGATTGTTGGCGCATGCCTTGGTAGACCTAATAACGCTCTTGTTCATAAGAGAGATGCTGTCCTAGTAGAACACAGAGGCAAAACAAAATTAAGATGCCTCGGGTGGTTATAAAAGATTTTATTTTGTTGGATCTTTCAGAACGGGTACTTCGGATTTAAAAATAAAAAATGGTGGAGAGATTCTTAAAGCTGATGCTAAATTTATTTGGAACGGGACTTTGCTTCCTTCGTGTTGCTTTTGTTCTGTTTATTTATTGTTGGTACTGAGATAATGGTGGTATCTGTTTGAGCATCAAGTTACCATATTTAGAAGTACTAGGATGAGAGAGTTCAGATTTCTTGTTTGCTATTTGGATAACTGATGTATATGTTCCCGCTTTCCCATCCTCATTTTCATTGAAACTATGGATACAACATGGTTTTTTCCTGTTTGTTCTGTCTGTGGAGCGTGACACCATCTAGAATGTGTTGCAGGAGTACATGGCGCATGGTTCCCAAGGACTATTTACACAGGCTGCATTCAAAGATCCATCTCAAGACGATTCTTCCCAGAACCACTTCGGGGTGCCCAATGCCAATCCACTTGAATCTCAGGTTTATTCCTTAGATAATTGTCATTAACTTACAGAATTGGCAAATTATCGAACCGATTCAGGATTCAAATAAATTTCATCTAAAGTTCACCAAATCCTGTAAAAAGTAGGCTTCACAAGTTATATTTTTTTGAAAGGATTTTCAAAATTATGTTTTAACTCTGGTAATCTTCTCACTTGTTTGCAGAGTTTGCTAAATCCACTTTACTCCCAGCCTTTCACCCACTACAACAGTCAGCCCCTAAACATGCAAAATTCTCAGCAACAATCGCAGCAGAGTCGAGGCTCTCAAAATCAGAACCTTCACTACAATGGCTGAGGGGGACATGTTTGAACATGTGATGGGTTAGTCTTTTTGCATTCAGGAACTTGATTTGTGCTGCCATGTGTGACTGTTATCTGCCCTAAGACACAGTGAGAATTGGATAAATTAAGCCGGTTGGTTGACAACTCAATTCTTTGATGATGATTCTTGAAGATTGCTTCAGATAGTTTTATTAGTATGCTGCAACCTTGGGCTAACAATGGCAGCATAACTAGTGCTGAGAATAGAGATAACCCTTATTATCATCTTGGAAGTCGATGGAGCAAAACATGGCATGGTTTTACTGGAAGGGTGGGTTGATCAGGGGGCAGAACCAGTTACAGGGAATGGCACCATTTCTCTAAAGCAGATTATAGCTGGTATTTATGTGTAGCATGCCGGAGTACAGTTCTAACCCTTTCATCTAACGCTGACGTGTAATTATATATTAGGACTATGACGATAGTTCAGGTTTGGATGCAAGCAAGCAGCGTGATATTATTAAAACGTGTTTTAGATATATGAATGTGTGACATTAGTGAAAACTCAGTATGCTCGTTATTATAGGGCTCCTGAATCCTGATGAGGGAGTGAGAATTATGGATTGTTTTGTCTGAAGTTTCGAATTTTGTGTGATTTAAGATATCTAGATGTGTTCAGATGTGGAAATGGAATATTATGAAAATAGTGCAAAATGTGAAATTGTTGTATTTCTATCTGAGAATTATGGATTGTTTTGTCTGAAGTTTCGAATTTTGTGTGATTTAAGATATCTAGATGTGTTCAGATGTGGAAATGGAATATTATGAAAATTGTGCAAAATGTGAAATTGTTGTATTTCTATCTGTGGCATTGCCATGTAAATAAGTTACCAACTAGCTACAACCCTATAGGTATGGGAAGAAATAAAATACTTATAAGCTCACTTAGGCTCGAAGTTTGATTTCATTGTCTAGTTATGTTTTATGCTTTTTACACCGTGGCTTGTTCAGGCTTGTAGAAGTTTGAAACTTAATTTTGCTGTCTAGCCATGTTTTATGTTTGTTAGAACAATGCTAAATAATGTTTATTACACATTAGACACGATACTACTAGAGTTTTGCTATTTGCACGTTCAGTTTGATTGAAACTTTGACACGGAAAAAAGAAAAAGAAAAACAATTTGACAGAAATTGAAATAATAGTATGACAGAAATTTTTATTTTTTTCCATTTATCGTAGATTTTGTAAAACTATTTGTACATGTTACACATCTCATGCTACATGTTAAAAACATGCGATAGTTATGAGCAAATCCAAATAAGAAATTGACAGAAATTTCTTCGCTACAAATCTAAGGGTTCGTTTGATTGTAAATGTGGAAAATTGGTGAAAAGAAAATGAATTTTAGGGAATTGAATTGTTTAGAAATTGTTTTACTGAGAATTGTAATTAATTGTGTTTGATTGGTGTAATTTTTCACCTGAAAAATGTTGAAATTTTGAATTTTTTGGTGTTCGTTTGACTTTATTTTTCATAGAAATTGTCCATTAAAGGAAAAAAAAGAAAATTCACAATTGTAGATAGAATTTGTTTCCATTGTCAAAATTTTTTTTTAAAAAAAAAGTTGGCTGGAAAAAAGTCGATTTTCTACCAATTCAAGGAAATTGCACCCGTGTGAAGCAAATCAAGAAAAGTAATTCCATTGAAAAGTTTTGCATCAAACAAGGCAAAACGCAAAGTTGGAAAATGTTTTCCATTTTTCATGGAAAATCTTGGATTATCAAACAGGCCCTAAATTCAAAATTGAAACAGGTTTTTGTCACATCATTGCAATGAAATTTCTCTTTCCTCGATGTATTATCCCGATCTCTATTCCCCATTATAAATAGTATTTCTTCATGGTTTTAATATTTCAGTAGCTTTTTCATTCTCAGATAGCCAATGAAAGTAATTTTTTACGGGTAACATGCTCATTTTTATTTTGTCCCCCATTCAGTAGTTTATTTTTGCAAAAGGTAAAGATTATTTCAATATCAAATATTGTTAGAATTAGGACGTGACTCTCCCCCCAATTTTTTGATAAATTTTTTTTTATTTTAAAATTATATTTTTTGTATTTATGGAATAATAACCTGATTGGGTAATTGTGGCAGAATAGGCTCTTGAACGCCACCCTTCTTCCTTGTGATTTGCATAGGTTCCATTGTTTCCACCTGTTGTTCATACAATTCTCTCTATTGATTAAACATTAGTATTAGGATAATATACATTAATTTATATTCTTTTGTTTTCTTTCTCCATCATAAAGTACCAACTTCCCTCATTTTAACAGATAATGTTTTAAAAAAAAAAAAATTTGGGGACTCTACCCCCGAACCCCTGTGGGTCCCCACCCCTTCAACTCTAGGACCCCCTATTTCGACAGGCTGGCTCCGCCCTTGACCCGAATCTATTTTGACGATGATTGAGAATTCTAATTAAATTTGCAACTTACGAAAAAATTTATTTATTAAAATGCTTTTGGAATCATATTCAAGTTTGTCTGGCAAATTTTAGTTGAAGTTCTATTTAGAAGCTCTATTGGAAGTTGGAATTTGTGTTGCACCTGAAGAGACCATTGATAAGAAAACTTTTGGACATTCTATTTCATCTACAATTCTAATTTTAGGGCTTGGATTATTTCCTATATATCTTTGACCATTCTCTACAATTAAGTTGGGTTGATTTTACTTCTTTATGGGTTGTTAACCTCGTTATAGGTTGGTTTAACTTTATTGGAAGTTTATTTATATCAATTATTAGTTAGAAAACTTGTAAATACAAAACATTGTAATTCCTTCTCCATATTTTAGTGAAATTTCATTTACTTTGCAAATTATATTATTCTTGTGAGTTTGTGATCTTTACTCCATATTGTGTCTATAATCTCGTATCGTTTTCAACAAACTGGTATCACAGCATTCCAGTTTACAACATATATTCTGAATTTTGTTTCAAATTATATAGGAAATGCTTTTGGATTTGACATTTTTTAAACTTTTTGTTTGATTGTGCATGCTTATTCAGTTATGCTTATGCATTTCACATTTTTCTAATTTTTGTTTGGAATTATTCAGTATATGAATAAACAATTATTTTCTAGAAAGTTATACATTAAGCTCATGTTTGGGCTAAATTTAAATATATTTTTCTTCATCTTTTCAACCACGCATTATTCAAAATGGTATAAAAAGAATTAAAAGGAAAAAAAAATGTCCACAATTTTAGGATTTAAAACGTTATGAATCTTGATTTTGAAAATCAAAAAAAAAAAAAAAAAAACTTTATTGTCAAGATCCTCCATATTAAATCACCAAAATAATAAAAAATGTGGAACATACCTTAATTCATTATGAATGATTCTTTATTAGTGGATCTTGATCTTGATCTTGATTTTGCTTTTGCTTTTTCTTTATGCTTGATTTTATTGTTCTTAATTCTCGTTTGAGTGTTTTTGATCTTCCTCTTAAATATGATTTCTCTTGTATCCTTGTATTAATGAGATACACAAAGAATGAGAATCATTTATGAATTGAGAGACATAATCCTATATATATTTGAAAGTTACTAGTTCGACCTAAAATCACCTAATTAGGTGAATAACGCGAAATTAATTTATCAATTAAAAGCAACAAGTCACTTTTTAATTATTTTATATGTTTAGCCAATCAAATCATCCTATGTTGAATTGCCACAATAATAATTAGAGTAATAAATAACACAAGATGTGATGACAGAGAAAACCCTTAACTGGGTAAAGCCTTTGGAACCAAGCTAGTAGTTTCCACTATAGACAATAAGAACTTACAGTATGATCCAACCTAGAAAACTCACTGTACTTGCTTATCTAATTCCTGCAATCTCCAAGACCCGCTAGAACGTGCTTTACTCACACCTGCTCCCGATCTACTAAAATGGTCTATCTCCTATGGAACACCAAGAACGCCTCGTTTTGTACTCTTCTTGTGCTTCTGATCCAATCTCCCATAATCTTCAGCAACCTCTGAAAGCTATTGAGAAAATATCTTCTTGATGAGATCTAGGAAGTGAGTATTTTGGATTATATGAAGTTGATGTTTTTTCCAAGTTTGTGGTTGATTGATTTCAAGAATCAAAATGTACTAAATATTTGGATCTTGGAATAAAGATAGAAGGATATAAAACAATGATCAATCACACCCAAAAATGTAACGACCACTAGTATTTATAATATGAGGTGTTTCGATAGTATACGATAGATAAAACTCTTGAAAATCGCAAACTAGAGTTTCTCGAAAAATACAGTCGCTCGAGTGCCAGGCAAGCGCCAGCGAGCGAGAGGTGTGTCGCTCGAGCAAGAACTAGGCGACAGACGGGAGACAATGATTTTGCTTTGGACGCTCGAGCATCAGCTAGCTTCAGGCTAGCATAAATTCGACAACTCTTTCTTTTAGTTCCATACTCAAACTCAAATACTCCTAATTCATCTATACAACCCTTTAAAAGACTTTGACTTTTACAACTCTTTTGAACAATCATATTCTTTTACAATAATAATTTTGTCTAAAAAATTGCCAATACAACTTAAAACCTAACAATTTCCCCCTTGGCATTCCGTAAAAAAAACTATAAATACAAGTCAAGAATGCAAAAACAAAACTAACAAAACTAATCTACCCAAACTTAAATTGAATGCCCGTCTCTTGCATTTCTTGAAATCAATAACTTAAATACCAAGTGTAAAAGCACGTGATACATGAAATATAATAATTGAAACAGACTATCATATGCTAGCTACATTGAGAAGCAATACTAATGTTAATAAAAAAAACCAACTGAAATATTAATATCACAAAATATCAAAACTCAAAAAAGCTAAGCATTCAAAAAAAAAAAAAAATCATCTCACCTTTACTACAAACTCCCTAAAATTAAAATTAAAATTTAAAATGCAAAATAAATTAAAATTTAAATGCCCTACTATCATCTTCCCCTTGTTATTACAAATGACGAAG